AGATTTAATTTTATTTTTCCTTGTGTATGTTTAATATCTATGGCTTTTTCTATTTCATGATATTCATTAATGACTAACTTTTTTCTTCTAAAGGCTGATCCTAAAATATTGAATAATTTATTTTCTCCTGGTGGTTTTAGACTTAATTCTGCTCTATTAATTTTTCTAAATTTTTCCCAATCAAATTTTCCTTTTAAGGCATATCCCTCTACTCCTTCGTATACTTCAGTTTCTATATTTTCTGAATTTTCTATTTCCATGATCCTTAGGTATCTAATTCTTCAATTCTCATAATTTCATTATTAAGAACCCTTTGTATTCTTTTTAAAGTTTTCATTTCTATAAGAATAGGCATTTTAACAAGATATCCTATGTCTTCGTCTAAAACTTCATCAAAATCTATTAAAAGAAAAGTAATTTTCTTTTCAAATTTTTTCTTTATTTTAAGACTATCGGAGTCTTTTATTTTATTTATTAAATTTCTTGATTTATTAACAAGATGTTGAATATAACTATCAGTATCTAAATATTCAGTAGAATTGTTAACGTACCATCCTATGCAAATTTCGTTATTATCTTTCATTCTCTAATGTCTTTAAATCCTCAAGATATAGGGCTCTGATACCATTTTTATTGGACCTAAAATGCAAAAATTCAATAATAAAATTATTAATCAATATCAAATTTTTTTCGGCTCAAGATAGGTGGAAAGAGTTGATGGTGAAGAAAAGTTAATTTTTATTGCAAGGGGCAAACAATTTTGTCGAATCCAAAATTAGAATTGAAGTTATGAGGACTAAAATAACTTATTTTGAAACTTTTTATATTAAGGGTATTTTAGGTAGTTTATATATTTGAATAGTGAAATGGGTTAGTTTGGAATTTTGGCTTTGAATTTGGGTCATTTGCTTGTATTTCCCCGCAAGGACCGTGCCCGGCGGCCAGGCCTCAATTTTTATAGGTGGACAAATCTGACTTGCTAAATAATGCGAGTTGTGTCTATGCAACAAGTGGATGGTTGGACCATTTAGATCATATATCCTACTTTATTCATTCAAAAGATACAAAAATGTGTACGAAAACTCTATTCAATTATATAAAAATCAAATTATTGACAAAAGAAGACAGAATTTATTTACAAAATTCTTATTTATACTTCAAATAAAATACATTTCTTGCTCTAAATTAAAATAAATAAAAAATGGGGAAATATAACCCTATAAAACTTGGGCATCCCCTATAATAATCAAAACGAGTACTCAATGACAGAAATTCCAGAGGAATCTTGCCATGGTACTTGAATTACAACCATATAATCCTCGTACTTGAACACGACATCGTTGCCATTGATTCTGCAGGATCCCGGTCTGTCCGAAGCAAACACCCTCATCTCTCCAGTTCCTTTCACTCCAATTTCAACTGAATTATGATCGTAGTCAAACGTGACTGATTGAAGAGCACCACCGGTATTCAGCATGTTTACTAGCCCAATTGGAGCAAATTGGACAGATTTGTTGGCTAAAACCGTGACAGGAGAAACTGTCAAGAGCTCGAAATTAAAGGGCTCGAGGGATAACTCAATGTTGGTCGATGGCTTTGACAGTACGAGCTTCTTTTCGTGGAAAAAGTATACTGCAAACACTTCAACTCCTTCAATGGAGGTTGGTTTTGTTCCATGTTTCCACTCTATGTCACTGGGGCTGGCCTTGGAAGAAACTGTGTGTGAGTATTGAGAGGCGCATTTGTTGCGTCGTTCTTCCCTAGACCATCCTCCGCCTTGGCAGTTAAATGCTCCAAGAACTCCCGTGTACTGGTGCAAACAGGAAAATTATATATGAGATCGAGATTTGTGTTATAAATGTTAACTCGATCAAGATTGACTAAGACATCATCGTTTAATTATAAATTTTACCTTATTGAGGTTCCATATTTTGAGCATGGTCTTCCCATCATGGAGGGGGTCTTCAAAGAGGCAATCACGAGTAGGGAGGGCATAGTAATCGCAGCGCAAGATCGAGCCATCGGGCAACACTAATCGCTTAAGAAGGTCAAAATTGTGCTTGCCAACTGAGTCGCTAACATAGATAGGTCCACCGGAAATAGCCCTTGAGGCAGCATGAAACTCCGCGCAAGGATGGGTCGATTGGAACATATCCCAATCAGGTTGAATGAAATTGCCCATCCACAAGCTATTGTAGGCACAATGAACCATGTGACAACCCTGAAGCCAAAAGGTGCCATTTGGATCACCAGAAGGATCTGTGCACCAAAAGTCATCTCCTATTGACAACAAGAAGAATCAATTTAGTGAAACCACATCTATGGAATGAGTAAAAATAGTGGAAATTGATGAATCGTCTATGTAAATTGACTCAACGGTGACAGATAATCAGATTAAAATCGATACGTACCGACGCGACCAAGCGCTATGGCCTCAGTTCCAAGGTACATAAAGTCATTGCAGTGTTCCATACTAGCAATCACTCCATTCCCTTTGAAATGGTTCCTAACCGAAGATGTTAAGGCTTTGAAGTAAGCCTTTGCAAGCTCCACTCTTCCGCCATACTCTTCACACAACATTTCTAACAGCTGCACACATTTAAAGTCGACTTGATGAAATCGTAATTCTTTATTGATAAAATATCAAATATGAATCAATATTTATTTATGTGGTCAAGATATAAAGTGGTATTTTATCTTGTGAAAGAAGTTTTAAATAAATAATAATAATTTCTTAAGAATTTTTTAAACGTGGAAAATCAGGCAAAGTAGTAGGTAGTCACAAGTTATTGGAAGAAAGAACGACCAAATCAAAGTCGATATGTGTACAGTGACACCATACATAAATTTATTAAGAAAGAACTTACATGAATGACATCGACTTTGACTCCATCGATTCCAACAGATTCAAGATGCGAGTGTAGACCTTCGTACATACGATCCACAATTTCTGGTGGGACGAGTCCAACTCCATTATTCACAATCTTATCGACTGCCAAATCCTCCATGGTCTTTTGCAATCCAGGAGTCAGTTTTGGTTTAACAACCTTCGACTCAGGTAGACCCGAAGCATCGGGTCTAAGCCCGCCCCAGTACCCGCATAGTGCATGCCACACGTACACATAGTCCACGCTTTTGAAGGTGTCCTTGAGGTCCCTAATAAAGGCGCCCATGCCCTTATTTGGGGCACCACCGGAATTATTTGATTTATTGGGACTTTCATAGTCTCTGAATTTGTAATTTTCTTGGAATTTTATTAGCCTGCATGGCATTTGCTCACCTGCGGGGTAAAACCACCATTAGTCTCTCAACATACGACGAAAAATACGATTTGAAATGAAATATTTATTAGCCCTTATTTGATAGAAATTAAAATTTTAATTTTTATCAAAGTCAAAATTAATAATTAATTTTAATCACATATTTCATAGAACCCTCAACTTCTTAACCATACATTTAATTAACATTTTATCAAAATTTATTAAAAATCTAATTTTAATTTCCACAAATAGGCTTAGTATACTGTTTTTATCGTTCAACTAGGTAAACAAAAAGGCCATCTTAAGACTTTTTTTTTTCAAATCAAAGTAAAAAAAACAATGAAAGTTTATAGACTAATTTTGAAAAAGAAAACTATTTGGTAATTTAGAGATGGAGCTAGGCAAAGTGGTTAAATTGAAATAAAAATTAAAACTCAGTAACTAGTTTGGAAGAATAAAATTGTTCAGTGACCAAAGGAAACACTCTTAAAATTATTTTTAACCCACTCACCTGCTGATGTTCTGTTCATGCCTTCTGAGGAGATTGGATCCTCATCATGGCTTACGGACTGCCACCCGTCGTCGATAAGAACCAGTCCCGGCGGAACGCCGCCGTCGACCAGACCCTTGACACCTTCCAAAATTCCGTCAGGGTGCACTGTCAGGTAAAACGCATCCCAAGTGCACCACCCGAATTTATCAACCATCCCCGGTGGATTCTTTTCTTCAAGAAGTTTAAAAGTTCCTAATTGATCTCGAGCCACTTTCATGGCTTCTTTCACAAGACTATACGGATCATCGCCGGCGTGCATGTAAAGTACACTCCGGTATGATTCTCCGGTGACTTTGGTTGACCCGCTTTCGACGCAGAGGTCGATGTAATCATCCTCGCCAGGTTGGAGACAAGCCCGGAATGGGCCTTCCAACATTGGAAGAAGAAGAACATAAGGCCTCCTTCCATCTTCTGATTTATCAAGAATCACCATCTGGGTTTCGTGTTCAAGATCTCGACCGTTGGTTCCAATCCAGTGGGTAGTCCACCAGACTTTGAACCTGAAAATCGACATGAATCTGATATCCTTCAGCTTCCCTATAGGAACAACATGATGGCTTCTGGGTTCTTTCGAGTCGAACCCGACGAAGCATCCCGAGGTTGTTGCAGCTGGTTTATCTCCGGCGGCGGCGGCGGAAGTGTAGGGCGATGGTGTAGCAATTATATTGGATGGAACTTCAGAGAGAAACACATGATCATCATGTACAATGAAATTTGATTCATCTAATATAATTGATGAATTGTTGTATCCATTTGCAAGAACAATGGCATTTGAACTAGCTTTGCTCAAACTGGGAGCCATGATTGTATACAGAAAGAATCAAGAAAATGGTTATAAGGGTTTTATATATAGATATACAGAAAGTGTGTGTGTGAGATTTTTGATGAATTTTAAGAGAATAAGTGAGTTTTCTAGAGTTGTTAGTGAATGCTTGAGATGCAAATCAAATTGGGAATTTATAGGGGAGAATGGATGGGGTAGGAAGAAGATTCGTAGGAAGGTGAGGTGGGCGCAATTTTGGTGGGGTAGTCTAAAGCTATAATAATTAAGATTATCCAATGTCTTTTCCATCGAGAAATTTCTTAATTAATGCTTGTCGAGAAATTAATTAATTCTCTCTTTGTTGAAAATTAGAATCATATTTTTAATAGAATTTATTAAAGGATTGTTTTGCATGACTTTTGTTTAGACAAGTTCAATAAAAATTTTGAGACTCAAAAACTAATTTTGGACACGTTCGGCCAATTTTATGAAATTACTTTTTTAAATTAGAAGAGTTTTTAGAGAAAATTGTTCCAATATAACTCTCTAAAAGCATTTTTGGAATAGAAAACCCTACTAAAAAATAATTTTCAAATAAAAATAATGGNTATTTGATATTGACTCAACTTCAACAATTTGATGGATAAAATTTTAATTTCATTTTTTTCGCTAATTGATTTAAGTATGTAATTAAAAGTTGTGAATCCAATAAAATATGTGGTAAATGAAAGTTGTTATACTACCATTGATGAGGTCCAGCATGGTATGGTGATGTTGATCACTCAGCACAAAAACTTAGTCATGTTTTTGTAAGCATATTTTATAGCATTGAATATTGTCAAATAAAATAATAAAACAGGGCTAAGTCCTGTTTGGTTCCCATTGTTTTTAAAATATATTTTTTTCTTTTATTTTTAATCACTTATTTTTCAATAAAATAATATTACACTTCAATTCAATTTTTTTCTTATTTTTTAATTACACGCTATCCATCAAAATATTATTTCAAAATGTATTTGCAGGAAAAAAAATTGGGCTCAAAGAAGCTATTAGTATATAGAAGTACCCACTCATAGCAGGTAAACTTTGTAGTCGGACTATACTCGATTGTTATCATGCTTCCCCCTAACGGATCTATAATACTAATTGTTTAGTGAGAGATGCTACACAAATATGATGAATGACAGGGATTTTAACACACATACACTTGGCAGTAGTTGATTAGCAGTTTTAAAAAATTTAAACAAAATATTGCCAAATTGGTACCTGAAAAATGAGTATGTCATTGCCCTGTCTGTCCAGCTTTTTCCTTGTTTAGTATATTCAAGTAGAAATTTGACCATTTTATTATAATCGATTCTGCAAGAATTAAAAGTTTCCAAACCATTAAGTAGAATTCTCTTTCTTTTTACACTACTAGTTTTTGCCGTGCATTGCACGGGATTGATTATTTTGTAGGCAATGTTATCACGTTAAATGTGTTGAATTCTCCTTCGTTCAATTATATTTTTTCTATACAATATTTCATAACTTAAAAAATTGTATAGTAAATACACTTAACCTAACAGATGACATCAAATGTAAAAAGATTAGGGTTTGTTAACCTGTATGTAAATTGGTATTTAAGAAAATGTTCTTACCAATTTTTGACATAAAATTGCAATGCCTCAACAATTTAATATTTGAAGCAACAAGCATAGAGCCTCATCAAGATGACATACTGAAGCTAGTGTATGACTATTAACCAATATATAGTCGCATATTGATAATGATGTTATGGTATTTACCCATCCACTAGGTAAATACAGGACATTTTGTTGGATATGATATTTCGTCTTCTTTTTGTTTCTGTGCTTTTTATGCCCATTCGTCTTGTTAGCTTTAGTTATTTTCTTCGAACATTTATTAATGTCTGCAGTAGCCTCTAAATCAAGAATAAGAATTATACATATTACTGAAATATCTGAGTTATGTGTTTATCACAACCAGCAAAAGTTCTATTTTAAAGAAGCAAAACATGAAAATGGGAAAATGATTTCAATAGCTGCAAATAATAATAATTTATTTTGTCTCGTCACATAAATTAGTTAAAAACTGGGTACCACCGGTAGGAAAATAAGTCGGCTAGTTATACAAAACAGACCTTCATTATCAACAATGATCCGTACGGAGTAACCATAGACAAGGAGCTTGTTCACAACAACGATACCGAGGTACAAAACGCCGCTGGTGACACACACTAACTTCTCCAGTACGTCGTTCTTTCCAGCTCCGGAGATCACATGATCTCTGTCTCTCAAATCGTCACCGTCCTTTCTCCGGTGTCCGGCAACACAAGACAGCAACACACAGTGGAACTCATCAATATCCGCATTCTCAGTCTCGTGCAATCGTAAAATCCCCATTGAAGCAGCTTGAATCAGTAGAGCAAATTTGCTATGTTGTTTCCGTGGAGACACGGAGAGGCGTGATATAGTTTCTAGCTCTAAAATAATTTATCCATCTAGTAAGAAATCTGTGGTATTAACATATTTTATGCAGCATAGTCTCGTTCCCATCCAAGAATTTTTTTTTATTTAAGAAAATGTTCTTACCAATTTTTGACATAAAATTACAATGCCTCAACAATTTAATATTTGAAGCAACAAGCATAGAGCCTCATCAAGATGACATACTGAAGCTGGTGTATGACTATTAACCAATACATAGTCGCATATTGATAATGAAGTTATGGTATTTACCCATCCGTTAGGTAAATACAGGACATTTTGTTGGATATGATATTTTGTCTTCTTTTTGTTTCTGTGCTTTTTATGTCCATTCGTCTTGTTAGCTTTAGTTATTTTCTTCGAACATTTATTAATGTTTGTAGTAGCCTCTAAATCAAGAATAAGAATTATACATATTACTGAAATATCTGAGTTATGTGTTTATCACAACCAGCAAAAGTTCTATTTTAAAGAAGCAAAACATGAAAATGGAAAAATGATTTCAATATCTGCAAATAATAATAATTTATTTTGTCTCCTCACATAAATTAGTTAAAAATTGGGTACCACCGGCAGGAAAATAAGTCGGCTAGTTATACAAAACAGACCTTCATTATCAACAATGATCCGTACGGAGTAACCATGGACAAGGAGCTTGTTCACAACAACGATACCGAGGTACAAAACGCCGCTGGTGACACACACTAACTTCTCCAGTACGTCATTCTTTCCAGCTCCGGAGATCACATGATCTCTATCTCTCAAATCGTCACCGTCCTTTCTCCGGTGTCCGGCAACGCAAGACAGCAACACACAGTGGAACTCATCAATATCCGCATTCTCAGTCTCGTGCAATCGTAAAATCCCCATTGAAGCAGCTTGAATCAGTAGAGCAAATTTGCTATGTTGTCTCCGTGGAGACACGGAGAGGCGTGATATAGTTTCTAGCTCCAAAATAATTTATCCATCTAGTAAGAAATCTGTGGTATTAACATATTTTATGCAGCATAGTCTCGTTCCCATCCAAGAATTTTTTTTTTTCTCACAACAAGCTAATCATCTTCAAATGTCTGGAAGAGTAAAAGTTGGAATTTTGTAAAGACTTCTATTAGGTAAGTCCCTTAATGGGTGCGCTGCGCTATAAAGCAAAATAAATAAATACTGAAAATAATGAAGTAAGAAATATTAAATACCGTTTTAACTTAGTAAACGAACTCAAACCTCTAAAATCCTCATACGTCACCGCAAAAGTTACGTCATTTTCTTCGAACGCCGACCATTTTAGAGTAGTGAAAATGTTATTGTTTTGGACAATTTTAAAAAAAATATTGTCTCCGTCCGCACACAGAGACCTTCTTTGTGTACCGTGAGCACTCCCGAAGAAGAATTTTTTTTTTTTTTTTTTATGTTTGCACGCTGTCTCTGTGAGACACGAAAACACGACCATGTCTCCATCTCCATGTCTCCACGAGACACTCCTGAAGAAGAATTTTTTTTTTTATGTCTACACTCGTATCTCCACCGAGACACATCTCTCTCCGTGTCTCCGTAGGAGAACACACTGTGTTTCAGTGTCTCCACGGAGACACTCCTGAAGAAATTTTTTTTTCTCCGTGGTGCGCTACAGAACGACCTTTTTTTCTTCAAAGTCAACAATTGTGGGCTTGCATTTTTTTTTTTTTTGTCCACATATGGAACGGTGATATATGGGGAGAAATCACAAATGAATAATAACCCTCAAAGTTCATCTTTTAAGAGAGTAGGATATATGTCCATATTTTGTTCAACTATAAAATTGTATTAAAATCTAAATTAAATTCAACAATTAATTTACTAAAAATCTAATTATTACCTAAATCATAAATCGGCTATATTCTCATCCGTTCAAAAATGCTATAGTAGCTATTCCCATTTCGTGTGTCTATTTTGTTCTTGTGTGTGTGCGCATGGAAGAGAAAAAGAAAAAAAAGTAAAGAAACGAAAGTGCAGTTAATTTAATCCATATCATTGATATGTAAATCAATGTTGACATTGTGATGTACAAATAACATTAGTTATTAAACAAAAAGTTAACTGTAAATACTGAGAACTGAATTCCTAAATATAAAGAAAGTGCAAAATTTTAAGAATAATATTATTTGTTCATCATAATTTACGGATTGATGTACATAATGATGACATTGAAGAGACAAAAAAATCAAAGAATGAAAAATAAAAGAAATCAATTAAAAATTAGCTAATACAATTTACATTATCATTCCGTACATCATTCTGTAAATTATATGCGCAAATCAAATTATTCACATTTTAATATCTATAATATATTAAATATTACATCAAGTGATAATCATTTTTTGAACGATTTTATCATTACTACAATTCAATTATTTTAATAATATAGTACTTTACGTTTTTCAATGTATTTAATTATTTCAGTAGTTCCTACTCTTTTTTTCAATATGTATTTAATTAATGGTCATTTGAATAATTTGAACGGTATTATCATTAGTTATTTTGTCAACTATTTAGTTATGATGAATCATTTTTCAGACGATTTTATCCTTATTATAATTCAATTATTTCAATAATATCCTACATTCAATTTTTTAATATGTATTTAATTTATTAATTATTTGAATCATTTGAATAATAATAATATTAATGATTTTGTCAACATTTAGTTATGACGAATATACATTTGACACATTCATTATCTTACTTTTCGTTTTTCTACATGTATTTAATTTATTTGATATATTCATTATCTTTTGATTTTTCGATATATATTTGATTTATTTAATCATTTGAATAATATTAAATGTCATTTGATTTATTCATGAATGTACAATTCACATATTCATTACCATACTTTTTGTTTTTCAAGATGTATTTAGAGCCCGTTTGAATCCCATTTTTGGTGTAAAATGTATTTTGGAATAGTAGATTGATAAATAATGTGTAGTTAAAAAATAATATAAAAAAAGTTTTTGGTTTGCGCGTAATATTATTTTATTGAAAAATGTGTAGTTGAAAATGAGAGATAGAGAAATGCATTTTGAAAAAAATGAAGATCAAACAAGGACTTAGTTTATTTTATCATATTTTTAATCATTTGAACAATATTATCAAGATTATTTTATCATTTAGTAATAATTAATGTACATTTGACATATTCATTTCACTTGATTGGACAGTAAATTAAATTCATTAAAAGTTTTTTAGAATAAAAGATTAACACTTTTAGAGTTTCTTTTCCAAGAAATTTATTCAACGAATGTTAAGATACAGAGAAGGTAAATGAGGGACATAATGCGTATCAAATTAGAATTTTTTTTGAACGATTCTATCTTTAATATTATTCAATTATTTCAATAATATATTAAATATCACATCAAATAAGAATAATTTTTTGGACGAGCCTATTCTTACTGTAATTCATTTATTTCAATAATACCTTATTTTTCGTTTTTGAATATGTATTTGATATATTAATCATTTGAACCACTTGAAAAATATTATCATTGATTATATTGTCATACTTAGTTATGATGGATGTACATTTGCAATATTCATTACTTTACTTTTCATTTTTTGACACGTGTTTAATTTATTAAACTATATTCAACAAATTCATTACCTTTTTATTTCAATATGCATTTGTTTTATTTAATCGTTTGAACAATATTATCATTAATTATTTTCAATATACATTTTAAAGATTCACTTCACTTGATTGGATGGTAAATTAAATTCATTAAACATATTTGGAACAAAAAATGAATACTTTTTTAATTTTCTTCCAATTGATTTATTCAATAAATGTCAAGATATGGAGATATATAATATATTAAATATCATATCAAGTGAAAATCATTTTTTGAACGATTATGTTATTACTATAATTTAATTATTTCAATAATGTGTTACTTTTCGTTTTTCAATATATATTTAAGTATTTCAATATCCTATTTTTTGTTTTTCAATGTGTCTTTAATTTATTAATCATTTAAACCATTTGAATAATATTATCATTAATTGTTTAGTTATATTGAATGTACATTTGACACATTCACTATCTTGTAACTTTTCCTTTTTTACCATGTATTTAATTTATTTCACTATATTTGACAGACTGATTACATTTTTGCTTTCCAATATATATTTGATTTATTTAATCATTTGAATATTATCATGAATTGTTTTGTCAATTATTTAGTTATGATCAATGTATATTTGATAGATTTATTCTACTTGATTTGATAATAAATTAAATTCATTAAAAAGTTTTTGGATTAAAAGATGAATATTTTTAGAGTTTTCTTCCAATTGATTTATTTAGCTTGCTCCATTATTTCACATTTTAATGAGGGGAATAGTAATTTTTTGGAGAATGTGCGGTTGAAAATGATGGAAATTTTTTTAGGTGCACGTGTAAAATTATTTTATTGAAAAATGTGTAGTTAATAAGAAGAGAGAGAAAAAAGATTTTTTGTTTAATGAGGGCCAACAAGGGTTTAATGAATATTAAGATACAGAGAAGGTATATGGGGGGACATAATGTTTATCTATAATAGAATTATAGTATATTAAGCCATGTTCTAAAAAACGTGAAAACACGCCGCTTAGGCACGACCAAAACGCGTCGAATTCGGAAAATGCCGAAAAAATGGGTTTTCCAACTAAAAGGCACACCTAATTCTCGCCTAGGCATGCATCCCCTTTTTTTAAAATCTATTTTTTTTATATATATTAAAAAATCTATTTTTTTATATAAAAATATATTTAATGCCTTAAAAATACGAAATGCATTATGACGCTTATTCTTCGCATTGACACGCCTAAACTTGTGATTCTTGATTCTCGGCCTCGACGCTTCGCAACGCATTACGCATTTTAGAACACTCATATTAAGTGCCTGTTTGTGCCCCATTCTTTGCCCAAAATGCATTTTAAAATAATATTTTGTTGAAAAATGTGTGATTAAAGAATAATGAAAAGTTTTGAGTTTGTATATAATTTTATTGTATTGAAAAATGTGTGGTTGAAAATAAAATAGAGAAAAATGTATTTTGAAAATAATGTGTAACAAACAGGGGCTAAATATCACATTAAGAATATATGTTTTGGACGATTATATCCTTACTATAATTCTTTTATTTCAATAGTACTTTACTCTTCGTTTTAATATGTATTTAAATATTTTAATAATACCCTACTTTTCATTTTTCAATATATATTTAATTTATTAATTATTTGAACAATTTGAGCAATATTATTATTTATTTATTTTGTCAACTATTTAGTTATAATAAATGTACATTTGGCACATTCATTACTTTAGTTTTCATTTTTTGGTATGTGTTTAATTTGTTTAACCATATTTGACAGATTCATTACCTTTATGTTTTTCAATATGTATTTAATTTGTTTAATCATTTGGACAATATTATTATGAATTATTTTGTCAATTATGTAGTTATGATCAATGTATATTTGACAGATTAACTCCACTTGATAGAGTAATAAATTAAATTCACTAAAAAAAATTTCGAACAAAAGATAAATATTTTTAAAGTTTTCTTCTAATTGATTTATTTAGTGAATGTTAAAATACTGAGAAAGTAAATTGAAAGTATTTATAATAAATAATTCCAATCGATATATTCAATGCATATTGAGCGAATATGAAGAAATGATGATATTCGTTAAATGATCAGTTCAGATCAAAAGGGTAAATGAATGGACAATTCTAATTGACTTCTTCAACTATTTACAGAAACTGATTTTTATTTCATTTAATTCAAAAGTTCGTTCCACATAAATAATTTATATTAATTATTTTTTATATTTTCAAATCATCAAATATTATT